AGAGAGAGAGAGAGAGAGAGAGACAGAGACAGAGATCGTTTCGATCGGTTTTTCGTTCTAGAACGACAATCTCGTAGTATCCGGTAATCCAATGCAATAATAAAAAAATAGTACTGTGGCTGTATCGTGAAGTATTTTTTTCTTGTTCTTCTTTTTGTATGGATTAAAGCTCTCTTGGCGAACGAAATAGAGGAGGAGAAGAAGAAGAAAGAAGAAGTGGATTAAGCTCGTTGTAACTGTCATTTCGCTATTCGGCTATCGATATTATCTATTGAACATGAATTTCGTGTCGAATTCCGTGTTAGCAATGTAATTAAACCTAGTTAAAGTAACATGAATTATTATCGAACCGATGGCATGGAACGTAAAGTGGGAAGGATAAAAAACTAAAGAATGAGAATTGGTAGATATAAATACGACGAAATCGAAGCTTTTAATTAAGACCGGCATATGGGGGCCGATTTCTAACCAATTTAGCGAGTTAAAATCGGGTCACGATGCTATTTCCCGGGGGAAAATTACTAAAGATCTTTAGTTATTTCACGAACATTCCTTTTCGAATAGTTCCGAATCGTTCCAATCGCGTTACAAACTATTTTCCTTTTTTATTTATTTAACAGACCCGTGTCTCTCGATATTCCCTGTCTAACTTTGAAATTTGGCACGTCCTAACGCTACGGTTGATCTATTTCTTCGTTTTTTCTCCCTCTCTCCCTCTCTCCCACTCTCTCTCTCCCTCTCTCTCTCTCTCTCGTTCATCGTGTTTACGACTTTGGTGAGTTTAGCAAAAGATGGCTAGCGCGGTTTCATCCACTAAAAGTTTTCGTTATTAACGACACCGGATGCATTAATTTAAAAGGGTCTGCTGCGCGTTATTACCGCAACAACAATTTGTAATTAAGAAGAAAGCGCGTGCATTATATAAACACGTATTTTTCTGGAATATCGACATTTTTTTATACAAACTATCTTTTTTTTTTATTTTTATATTATTTCCTTTTTAAACCCATTTCACTCCCCCTCTCTCTCTCTCTTTCTCCCAACACCAGCATTTCTTTAATATCAAAGTAACGTTTCTCTCGTAAAATAGACTATCACGATAAGCCAGATAGGTAAAGAAAGAAAGAAAGAAAGAAAGAAAGAAAGGAAGAAAGAAAGAGAGAGAGATAGAGAGAGAGAGAGAGAGAGAGAGAGAGAGAAGGTTGGGATTCGTTCGTTGGGCACAGGATCAGCAGGATGGTGGTGCGTTCCGTTCTATGTAGGTCTTTCTAGGAGAGAGAGCACGTAGCTGTTTACCATGAGCGGCACGTTGCTGTCCAGCGGTTGCTGGCTACTGGGGCCCCCTACTCGATGTCTCTAGCTCGTGCCTCTCAACCACCTCCTGCTTTGGCTAGCCATGATCCATCTGACGCGAGAACCCTCGAGGATCATCGTCCTTCTCGGTGGTTGCACCTTTGCCGGTTGTGCACTCACGTTTCAGGCCTCATGCATCGCATATCGCTCGGGAAAACGTGACTCCGCTTTTGCCCGATCCCCTTTTTCCCGCCTACCATACCTCTATTTTTCATTTTCTTTTTCTGTTTTTTTTTCTTTTTCTTTTTTCTTCTTTCCTCGACGCCGACGTTTCCAATTATTTCCATCTTTTGTTCGGTATCCTTCTCTATCTCTCTCTTCTTCTTGAAAATCTTATAATTACGACGAGAGAAAATCGGAATATCATCTTTGTTCTTATTACGATTAATTCATGTAAGATGTTTAATTAATTAAACGACGATTCCTTCCCCCTCCCTCCTTTTCTCGATTTTAATCTCGAAAACATTGAAAGTTTCGGCCCGTTGATCGACAAAGTATTTTTCGAACGAGGACGCGTCGCGATTAGAGTTCTAAAAATGCTACTCTATTTCCATGCCGTGAACGTTACTATTCAAGACGGCACACGGAAACCGAACAATGTGTATGCCGAATCTTTGGAAAAGTATTCAAAGCTTTTCGTTTCGACAAAGATCACTGAGAAATCTCGAGAAACGTGAGAACTCTAGGGGGTATCGGTGAAATATTTCCATCGAGAGATCCCAACGAGAGTCAAAATGTTTATGCACTTTTATCGATTACCCGGTGTCTATGTGTTGTTTAGACTTTTAAGGGGTTATTTGAGTACGCTTTATTTGTTGGTTCCTTTTTTTCATTTGGATAAAAATACGTTCCTATTCGATAACTAAGATGATTTATTATTACACTCAGAGTACTAAGCTAGGTGATACGGATATTTGCTTAATCGTCAAAATTGTAGATTTGGAATAATTCCAGATAAGTCGGTAGATGATATCGAGTTAGGGTTGCTTCCTTCCTTTTTATCAAAAGGAGGAAAAAGACATCGTCGAGTATGACGATTTCCTCGAACGAGCCAAAAATTATAAACGACTCGAGTTATCTTATTTAAAACGATCTCTTGTTATTCTTATTTCGTGTTAGACTCGTTCCGAGATAACTATGCGTCGCCAAGATGGATATAGAATAGAATCCACTCTCTTTCTCTCTCTGTACCGGAATATCTAATTCATTTCACAATTCTCGATGAATCGAGTAAGGTTTTCTTTTCTCAAGAAACAGTTCTCCTCTATCCATAGCCAAGAATTCAATGAATGAATGAATGGGAATGGTCACTACGAGTTGTTTCGTGTGACGTTCATTTGCTTTCCACGAACTATCATAATAATTATAAAGACGAGGAGAGTCAGAGATAGGTAGAAATGTGTGACTAGCATCTGCAAACGTAATACAGCAACGTTATCTAACAGTACAGTGTGTTTACATTGCGGATATCAGTGAGAAGACAAACCTTGGTAGAGGGTAGCGAACTAACTCGCATTATCCATCCGTCCTATTTCAGTTCTCAATCCTTCTCCTCCTTACGGTAGTCTCTTGATATATACCAATTCCTTTTCGATAAACGATACACCATCTCGTATTCCCTTCTATGCTCCTGTTACGTCTGTCTGTATCTCTTACGTTACTCCATTTCCATGAATGGGAAAGCTTATTAAGCTGTCGTGATTCTACAATCCTACGGAAATCATTCAAATATTCTATCGATAAAGTCATTTGGATAATATTCTTCCTCAGAGTTTTTCCATTAGGTGCATAGTTAAATATGCAGGATTTTTATTAGCTGCATTCCGTAGTAATTTATCGGATAACGATATCAAATCTAAGATAAGATCGTTGATGTTTCGCCAGACCTGAAAATAATATACGAATGGGAATTATAATTATAGTATTGATTTAATATAAAAATTCATCGATTGATTTTATTCGTGGAACGTGATAGAGTATCGCTAATCAATGAGATCTAGCACAAACAATGAGAGAATGCACGTTTGGATTCTTCGGGTCGCACGTTTTCGGTGCATTCTTGGCGCGTCCTTGGCGCGTCCTTGGCAGGTCCTTGGCGCGTCGGTAGCGCGTTACTTGCGAGCCGTTTAGGAGCCAAATGGTCGATGCATCCTTGGTTATCTCCCTCTGGTAGTTGCATTGCTATACGCGATCCTTCCTATAGATTCTAATCGATACGACGCGTTACCAATGTCCAATTACTTTTATATATTCCCTTTAACACGTATACTTTTCTTTTCTTTCCTTTTTTTTTATATTTGCTTATCGAATGCGCAAAATAATTATTATTCTTGTTAATTGGTAATATCGTTGATTAAAATTAAATCCCTTTCCCCTCCTTCATCGAATGAAATGATATACATATAATAAAACTGTTTGTACAATTTTATATTTTAATAATTACAAGTTGCGTGTACAAATATGCACGTAGGAGGTATATTGTGTAACAGGTCAATAATATATTCATTCCTGCCTCTGCCCCATCTATGTTGACATTCGGTTTAAATCCTATAGATAAAATCATTTCAATTGCGAAAATAAATATACAGTTTTGACTACATTTTATTTACAATAGGGAGCTCCAAAAAAAAAGTCACTATAATTCTAAAGCAAATATTTATCCTCGTAATTTATACAATACGTTATATATATATATATAAAAAAAAAAAAAAATACATGCGTGCAGTTAACACACGATAGGAGTTATTATATTTTATACTACATATACTACATTACGTATACACAAAAGAATTGTTACCGATTCAATGAAACTTGTCGCGTGTGCCGAAAGATAATCATTTTGAAATAAAAGAAATTGATTCAATTTGTCTTAGATTTGTATGTTGTAGAAAATTTTTCTTAGAAAGTATGTGAGACAGAGAAAGAAGATTCAATTGATTGGATTTGCAATAAAGGTATTAAAAAAAGGTGGACAGGTGTCGAACAGTATACGAGGAAAAATAGAAAGAAAAAGAAAAGACAGAGAGAGAGAGAGAGAGAGAGAGAGAGAGAGAGAAAATGAGCGATAAAAGGAGGGAGGGGGTGGGGTAATGTTCGCACGATCCGCGTGAAAAAATATAATGAGAACGACGAGGCACATAGCGAGATTCTCGACATACTATACTCTAAAGCACTTGACGATGTTGCTGCACGCGTTATAAGTGCAACCTTCGTTTCATTCCATTCACGTTTCATGCGCTCCAAAAATTATTTATATTTCGAGAAGCGAAGATAGAACGTTGGCTTAACGATAGCGTTTCTACCATTGAAACTCACGGATGCCGTCCGAAGGGCCCTTTAAAATACACTCTCGCATAAATTCTTATTCATCGAGTTATGTTTCGAAAAAGAAAAAAAGAAAAAAAAAAGAGAGAAATAAAGATTGAAAAAAAGAGAGAGAGAGAGAGAGAGAGAGAGAGGGAGAGAGAGGGAAAAGGAAAAAGAAAGAATTCGTTATTCACGTTCCCAGCTGCTAGTCGATAAAATATATATTGGCGAGTTTTACGAAAAGGGTGGAACTGGAATCTGATTTTTTGTTTTTTTTTTTTTTTTTTTTTTTTTTCTTTATATTCATTCAACTTTTCTTTCCCCCTTTTTTTTCCCGTTTCTATCTCTCTTTTTTGTACTTAATTATTCATTACTGTCCAAGCGAACGCGAAGTGAGAAGGTTCTTTCATTTTTAGTCGGTCCTTTTGTCCTCGTAACATAAAGACCATTGTAGATGAAAAGATATGCGGCCATAGAAGTTAGATTTTTTGTTTTTTCCCTTTTTTCTTTTTTTCCTTTTTTTTTTTTTTTCTTTTTTATATAGCGAAAAGCTGCATATTTGCTAGATATTCCATTCCTAGGTTTTGATAGTTAAAAAATGGGAATAATATTTTTAATTTGTATGCATTTTGTATGCACGACGAAGAAGAATAGAAGGAAGGGATACCGAATTGTTAAGTAATTCGTCGAATTTAAAGGATAAGTACGAGTTCTCCGGAATTCATGCTATTTTACGTTATTTAATATTATTTGACGATAGAACGATTGAGCACAATGTTCAAAATCCAGAAATAATTGAAAAAAAAAAAGAAAAAAAAAGAAAACATAGGGAAAAAGAAATAACTATACTAATGGGATAGCAAAGTAAAAGAAAAAGAAAGAAAGAAATACTATAACGTTTGTCGTTACATACAGGATATGCAATGAAATCTGCTTTCTCTGAAAGTTTTTATTTAATAATTTCAATTCACGTTCGAAACTACGAGAGATATAGAGAGAAAGCGTATCGACTATTTGATTCCGAGCAATCCAGATTACTTCTTATCAAAGGAAAAATAAAATTGAATTAGTACCTTTAACGAATGATTAATGTGTAATCCTTTTTCGATTGAAAGACTAATACTTTGGAAAGATTCAATACTTGTATAAATAATGCCTATATAACGAGTATATATATATATGTATGTATATTGTTAATTATTAAAAATACTAAAATGTTATTTACAAAGTAAATGCCTATAAGAATAATTAATTATTATTACAATTATAATAATGTTATTTTTGTTCTATATCACCAATAGCAATCGAATAATTCAGATTATTTGTTTTAAACGTTCCAATTATTATATATATATATATATATACATAAATTGTTAAAGTATATAAATAATAATCGAATAAACAGGAAGCAATGATGAAAATAAAATGAACATCATCGTAAAATGATGATTTTATTCCGACTAAAACCACGCGATAAACGCCTAATGCTCGATATCTAAAGTAGATTATCTCAAGCGAAGCGATATTACGGTAAATGCTTGCACTATACTTGATAACAATTTCTTGTGTACTTGATTACTCTTTCCCTTTCCTTTTGCCTTCTTCGTGAACGTAAAGATCTCTTCTCCCCCATTCTCACTTTCGAAACGTTCCCACCAAAATTGGACGGCAGTCTTGTTTTAGTTGCGCGTTTATTAATCCGTTTGTTAAAAAATGCTTTGCAATAAATTTCTATATATTACTCGTCATGTAGTTTTTTTGTTTTTAATACCTGTCTACTTTTATAATATAATTTTCAGGGGACACACATTTGCATTCAATTAATTTCTCGTAATAAATATATATATATATATATATAAATATAAATTTCGAAATGATTATTAATTTTCTCGTTTAAAAGTAATACGAATAAAGGTTAACTTTATATTTACTGTATAAGAAAGGCTCATGAAAAAAAAAAAAAAAAGACAAAAACGAGTGTAGGATAAAACTAGTAAAGAAAAGTCAGCCGATCGAATTTCTTTCGTGCGGATCGTTAGATGTTAAGGTTGGTAGGTTGGTAGGTAGTTGGTAGACAGGTACGACCAAAGTTTTTCTTTTCTAGAAAAGAAAATAATTGGAGAGAAGGGTAGAAAGTTTCATCGAAAAACAATGCGCGGCGTATTGCTGAGAGACCGTGACGGAAAAATGTGGCCATGGCGGTTAAAGGGGTGGTCGTTAAAAGTAAGACCGACAAATGGGCATCCGCTAGAGGCTGACCGCAGAAGAAAGTAAAAGAAAGAAGGGAAGAAAGAAAGTAAAAGAAGAAGAAGAAGAAGAAGAAGAAGAAGAAGTAGATAAAGTAGAATAAGAAAGAAGAAGGATCGAGTCGCGAGAAATGCGGACGAGAAGAGAAACGGCCAAGTTTTCTAGTTCTTTGTTCGCAAGACCGCTTACGGATACCATCGAGAAGGGCCTATGTAATAACGAAAAGTGCATAACGTCTACACCCACCTCTAACGTCTATCCTGCAAATCGTTTCGAGGCATAAAGAATAAAATATGAAAATTCTATGCATGGATTCTTCCTGTCTTTTTCACTTTTTTTTTTTTTCTTCATTCTTTTCTCCCTATTTTTTTCTCTTCTTCTTCTTCATCTTCTTCTACTTCTATTTATTCGCTTATATACCCTAGGAATGATAAAATCATGAAACGTATTTAATATTAAAAAGTACAAAAATAATAATAATAATCAAAACCGATAAGTTAACTATTAACTTACAACAAAGTGGGAACGGGAGGTAAAGGGGGGATAAAGAAGAAAAGTAGAAATGAATGAGTTGGGATTATTCGTGAAAGAATATAATAAAAGAGAGCTGAGAGTTTCATTGGCGAAACATAAAGACGCAGTTATCTTACGAATTCAGAACTACCCCCAAAGAGATGGAGCAAAGGTTGCTTGCCTGGAAAAGGGAGAATAATCAAGAGAATATCGTTTGAAATGGAAGAGGATGTAGAATCCTGGATGGACGAGGAAAACGATACGAACGAATTATTATTGAACGCGATGAAGTAGAGGATAATAGTAAGAGAAAGAGAGAATGAGAGAAATAACAGAAATGAAATTTTCGAATGAGAAAGAGAGATAGTAAAAAAGAAAAAGAAAAGGAGTAGAAGTAGGAATAGGAGTAAGAGATGGTGGAGAAGTTATTTGAAAAAGGGGTGAGTTAACGGCGACCACGCGAAGTAGATAATAATCTTATAGGAATCGCAGCTTTTAAATTCGATAGTGAAAAATAGAATTTTAGATGCTCGTAAAGTTCTTTAGCACAGTCTTGTAACGTAACAAGAAAAAAACAATTGGAAAAGATACGAAAGTAGTAGCAGGAGGAGGAGGAGGGGTAGGGGTAGAGGGGGAGGGGAGGAGGTTAAGAAAGATAAAAAAGAAAAATTCGATTTTATATTCGAGAATAGCGTGGCTCGATTCGAAGCTCAATGGACCCAGCGCGTTTTCAAGTCCACTTAACCCGGCACTGAAGCGAATAACGATTTATCATTATCCTCGATCCAACGAGTCCTTCCAATCGGCGGCCACGCAAAATCGCTTCTCGCACGAAACGTCGGTTGGACGTGGCTAACGTGCGATAACGATAATAATGCTTTCCGCTTTCGTTATGGATAAAAACATCCTATCTTGCGATCGGCCAATGTCTTTCTCTGCCTATAACACCGAGATAGATGGGATAGATAAAATATATGGATAGATAGATGGATAGATAGATGGATAGATAGATAGATTGGTAAATAGATCATCAGTCGAGCTGATGCGCATACGACGCGAGCTAGCGAACGACGAGCAAAGGTAACATGTTCGGCAAATTACTAAAGAGCTAATTACCGGACAACCGTGAAAATGATGACGGTAGACGTATCGCAACGCGATACGTAATATTCGGAAACTTTGATAAAATCCATATTCATAGTTACAAATGGAAACGTATATCTACTACACCGTGTATGACGGATCGATTACGAAAAAATAAAGGATTGTATTTATTAGTACAAACAAGTCAACGTTTATATTCTATAAAATGAAGAAATTACCTAGGGTGGGATATTTTGTGTCAGTATTATATTAAAAAGTATATTTAAATGATAGACATTTAAATAGAATTAATAGTGTCATTTGATTTTATTTTATTCTCTCTCTCTCTCTGTCATATCTTTATACTATTAATTAGTAGATAATATAGTAGAAAAAGTGACTAAGGTTCAAGGCACGTTTGTTAGCTCGTTCGTTCGTTCGTTCGTTTGTTCGTTTGCGAGGTATGCGACTCGAACGCAATGCACTGCGGTCGAGATATTACCTCCGAATTCGAGATATCGATCCTCCGGGCTTGTAATGATGCGCAACGCGCATAGTTAGCGACATATATAGCGCAAGTCTTTTGTAATTGCATTCTCTCTCTCTCTCTTTGTATGTATAGTACATATATGCATCAACGTATACATATATATATATATATATGTAATATATGTGTAATGTAGACGAGTAGGAGGTATACATTTATGCGTGGATGTAATTGTGCATAGATTCGAAATCTTTTTTCTCCCCTCGAACCACGGGCAAATGTTTAAACGAGCCTAATAGCTCGGTACGATTTTCTTTCCGCTTTATACCAAGGGAAATAAACATTCCCTGTTGTCGGAGTAAATACCGAACGAGTGAGAGAGAGAGAAGGGGGCACGATTAGGGGTGAGGGGGTATAAAAGTGAGGATGAAAAAGAATGACGACTTCTCTCGAAATATCTCTCCCTGATATTCGTTTTCAACGGGGTTACCTACTACCATTCTCAATGTACTGTCAAAAATTGTCAGTGATTTTGAACCTAGTATAAAAGCTTTGGTCCGCATTCCGGATTTATATACGCGAGTTTGTAAACGTGCCGTATACGTATATAAATATGGAAAATTAATTAACGTTCAGTTTCGCTCTTTTGCTCTAACGGTAGACTTTGAAAATTTGCTTTTACGAGGAAGAGGGAAAAAGCAGGCAGGAAATATCCGTTAACTGAGATTCGATCTGACAGAATTGGAGTTGGGAAAGGGTGAATCGAGGGAAAATCGTTCTCGCAAATCGAACGATCGTTGCTCGAACGCCAAACGCCAAGTTTAATTCTCTTCTACGATGCATCGCACTCCGACTAACGACATTTTATGTTCGATATATCGTTTGCCAGCGTCGCGTATATGGTCGTTTATCATTATCATTGGGCAAAAACATTTTCCATAGGGTTTTTACTCTAGGCTATGGCGGAATATTTCATCCTCCTTGCGAAATTCAATTTCGAAACGAATCTAAAAGGAGAATTATTTTTTTCAAGTTCAAGATCGTTTCGTAGGGTAACGAATAAACGCTAATCTCGTCGGCTGTTTCATGAATAATTTTTAATACCGCGACCGGTAATTACGGTCAATTTGGCATGAATAATATAGAAAATAATATTTTTGTAATATTATATTTTTGGAAAGACACGAATGAAGCGAAATCGTAATCATTCGATGTTGAATTGTTAATGAAAATTTTATCGAATCAATTATTTATGCGTTCTTCAAAATAATTTCATAATTTACTATATTATTATCATATTATTAGGTAATAATATCATTTCATGAATTATCAAGATAATTAATCATTATTTAACTCCCCATTTCCTATTAAATATTATATTACATTATTTTGTTTAATTTCTTCGAATTTAGGAAAAACGACAAAAAATTTGCAACAATTAAGTACTCGCTCACGGTTAAAAGAAAAACTTCCTACAAAAATATCAATTTTAACAATGTCTTGTTTATAAAATGTATTTTTGTTTTTACTAAAGAGAAACGAGTGTTTCGACCATTAATTTAAACCACACTTCCTTACATTTATTTAATCGCTTAAATGCTTTTTACCGAGCACAACATTTTCCCAACGCTCCGTTGTATTCCTCATTCTCTTTTTCCTTCTCTCCCTTGTATTTATTATTTTGTGTTCTTTTTATATCGTTCATGACACGACACAACACAGAACCAACGCTTCATGCATCCCTTCGGTGGGCATCGACCGATCGAAATTCAATCGCGGCGCAGCACGGGGTAGGGGAGGGGGCTCTTAACGTAACGTTGAAAAATGTTTGCGACCTTCTCGAAGAATCTCTAGCGAAATAATTTTTATCTCGATTGATCGCACAGGACCTCGTATATCGGCCGTTAGTTATAAACGTAAAAAATGGCGCATGATACTTGATCAACGTTGACGTTAATATCATTCATTTTCTTTTTTAAAACGTTGAAAAAATAAAACGAGTTAAAAAGAGACCAGGAGAGGTAGAGGGAGAGAGAGAGAGGAAGGAAGGAAGGAAGCTGTCATTTTTCGTTCGTTTTAATAACTCCGGTTTCCTTTCCGTCGAGTTACTTCCTACTACTTTACGGTCAAAGAAAAAAAGCTTTTATTGTTGAACGCCGAACAAAAGGTTCGTAAGCCCTCTCTCCTCTTCCGGTGGAAGAAGGTGGGTAGGGGGAAGGTGGAGGGCAAAGGGGGAAGACAGAAACTATCGATCTACCTAAAGGGATCTTACAGGAAAAAAAAATCCAATCAGTCGTGAAAAGTTTCCATCTTCGAGTAGGGAAAGATAGGATAAAGTTTTTTTCCGTAAACAAGCGAAAGGAAAGCGAACGACACTTCAGAACCTTGTGGAAAGCTTTTTTTCTTCTTCTCTTTCTCTCTTCATCCCTTTTCTTTTTCTTTTTCTCTCTAGGACGATGACACCCCGAACGGGAAGATTCTTTAAATCTCTACTTGGTGGGATCGGTCTTTTCACGGTAGGATGCCGTTCATGAAGGTACTTGTAAAAGAGAGCGAGATAGTTCGATAAAGGAAACTTCCTCTTTGATCGAATCGCATTAAAGCGACGCGTAAACGTTTAGCCTGTAGAAAGAAGAAAACAAAAATAAAATGTGAAACGCGAAAGTAGGAGGAGGAGTTGGCGGAGGAGGAGGATCCTGTTGAATACGAGAACCGATACCGAGGATAAAACTACTCGAAGAAATAAGATATACTGAGTTTTCTTTTGTCCCCAAATTACTATTTATGGATAGTGAAAAGAGTTTGTTCTATAGAAGGAGATCATTCGACTTTTTCTCTTCTATTATTCTAGACAGATAAAACTGAACGAAAAGGTGTTTTGCAGAAATATTTTGGATATACAAGAGAACTCTGATACACGCACAACCCTTAAATGAGCAATAACACCCGTCGAGTAATTTACCAACAAACTATTTCAATAAATCAATTGGTTTTTTAAGTAATTATCAAACGAACGTTCATTTCTCTTTACATTGAATCGTGTTAAACTTGCGTCTCAGTCTTCAATTTTATTTTCGCAATGATCGATTTTTAATCAACGCCTAGACGCGAACCCAGCGAAAGAAGAATGGTTGATTAATCTTACTTTAAACTAATCGCGTTTGTTTCCATTTCACGAAACTATTGTACGATTACTTTTCATTTCTATTGTAATTAATATGAGTATACTAGAATATGTCGGATATGGTGATTTAACACGACAAGATCGCCGGTGATAAGGAAAACGGCTG